CAGAGCACATGGCTGAAAGTAGGTTGTAGCCACAACTTCCCAGCTGTTCTCTGCAAATTAACATCTAGTATATGGGAATCAACTGCATGGCACACAGGTGAAGGAATGTATGGGGAGGAAGCCAGAGATGGGGTTACAGCCTGGAGGCTGGTAAAAACCAAGGGTTTAGGGAGGACAGAGCAAGCCCATCCCTAGCAGAGTTTCAACCATGTTAGCTAGAACAGTCCACCATAATGTCCTAGTGGTGGGAAGAAGGGCTGCTGTGGCTCAGCTGGGGTTAGCAGTCAAATCCAATGGTCTAGCAGCCTATAAGGAACACAGAGTATGAGGTGATGGGACAAAGGGTAACAAGCCTGCAAAGAACAGAGCTGCAGTCCCTTGTAACCAACACTGGGAAGAGGTGGCTTTTGGCATCAGCACTGTGGAAATCCTCCAGCAGCCCTTCTTATCTTGCCCTAATGCTGCTGTTGCCTGTATGCCAACTCCTGAAGCCTGCTTATGATTACTTTCTAGCTAATCTGCCCCGGCCAGCAGCTGTGACTTGCTCCTAATCCAGCGTGTGGAATCCGCCTCTGCAGCTGTCACTACCCTTGAGTGGACATGCTGGGCCCGTGACCACTGGCTTCCTGTTATTCTCCTAGTTTCCTTTGAAGACCCTGCTTTTGGGTCTCACAGCTAATGAGAAGGCAGTGGCCCACTTTTTTCCTAGAAGTGTTTCCAGCAGAGGGTTTTTCACCTCCAGCACATTCTGAAGGTCAGTCTGAAGGTCACCTGATCACTTAGAAAGGTTGAGGGGCAAGGAGGCTTACACACAGAAACTGCGCTTTGACTCAAACAAGAACAGGAGAAAATAAGAGGTAAAAGCATAAAGATCACAGAAAAATGCAAAACAGAGCATGCAGCTTTGTGGGGCAAGTAATATATCAGATACCTCCAGCCCTGGCAGTACCCAATTGGAATCCCAGCAGGGTCTTTTTAAATTTAGCACATCGGCCCTTCCCAAACATTTTATCCTGCTGGGGAGACTTTCAGGTACAATTCTCTACCCTGAATTAGCTGTTGCAACATTAAAGACACCATCCCACAGTAACAGAACTCCAGGGACCATGGCCAACATCATCACTCCCCTACCCTAGTGGCTCCACCCCACAGGAAGCAGATACATTTCAGTGGTGCTGCAACAATACAGTTTGCCGAGTGCTTTGGAATCCACCTAAGTGAAAGGGATCTGAGAGATTCGAGACAACAGATGGCACCAGTAGGTGTTTTCATGATTCAGGGTCAGAGCATCCTTCTGCTGAGGAAGAACATTTTGTTTACAGGTTGGCTTGAAGGACAGAACTGTTCAATGCCCCTTCTCCACGCTGCTCACAAAATTAGGCTGCTCTACATTAAGAGCTGGACCCACTGCTGAGTGCTGTGAACATTGACTCATTGCAATGTTGGCACAAATTCTCAGTAGCAATTCAATCCCACTGGTTGTAACTACGGTCAGAAATGGGTGGGTGTGAGTGGGTTTGGAGAAAACTGGCTACCAGTTAGAGCAAGGTTTGAGTCAGGGTACCTGGGTTCAATTCATAACTACACCACTAAGACAGCAACGGAAAGCAGCAGCCACAGTGTGAGCCTGGGTGACCCCTGCCAGAGAATTCTGAGCACCACCCAAACAGGGATGTCCGTGGCCTAAGAAAGGTTGGTACCAAGCCAGTTAGGGCCTTACAGATCTCACTCACTCCACATGACCTGCTAAGGAAGGACCTCACTCAGGACACCTCCTTAGATATACTTCCTCGCTAGGCCCAGCCCAGTCGTAGCTCAGTGACTAATGTTAGAGTTATAAAGCATAACTACGAGCCAGGCCTGTTACTGTGTCTGTACCCATCAGACAACTGATCAATCAGATGCAGTTGTCAAAAAGATTAGAGTAGGAGTCCTTTTCCAGGGCCTTCAAAGTAAATTTGAGGTGCTGCATTAAGCTCCATCACATGCTGTGAGGAAGGCATTACCCCATCCTACGGATGAGAAAACTGAGGCACAGAAGGGCTCCCATTTCCAAAAGCAGTCATTTATTGTGGGCATCCAGAGCAAGATCTAATTTTCCAGAGGTAAGCAGACACTTAGCAGCTCTCAGGGTGCAGGGAAACAGAATGGACCCAAATTGTCTAAGGGTAATTATCCCAACTGAACAGATGTTGAACCACTGGCCTGAGTGACCTCAGGGGCAGAAACTGGGAACAGAACCCAGGCCTCCTGGCTCTTAACCCTGTACCTTACCCACAATGGCTAACCTACCGGCCTTCCTGGGAGACAGGGAAAACCCCAGGAGAACGAGCATAAGCAGGCAGCTTTCTGCATCATTCTGGGGATCAGGTGTTGGACAGAATCCTGCACGGGGTGCAGAGCCAAGCCCAAACAGCTGGTGCTACAGTCCAAGGGAACAGGGCACTCAAACCACAGCATTTTAATCATTTTAATCATAAAGGAGTCCTTTTTATACAGTTCTTCTTGAGTGTGGGTGTGGGTGGGGTGAGGGAGGAAAAGGAGAGCCCTTTGCAAGATCCTGACCCTACAGTGATGTAAGCACAAGCTCCCACTAATGAACTCATTGATTTCCTAAGAGGACAGGACTTGCATGTAGCCAGGCAACAGATCTTTTACCCGTGTCCTGCCGGAACTGCATCAGGCTTGAGATATCGATGACGTACGGGGCCAACATGGCATCTGCATGGCCCAAGGGGATGCTACTGTTGGCAGGCCCTGGCCCCAAGCGCTTCCCCTTCTGCTGAGAGGCCTGGAAAGACTGTTCGATGTAGCTGCACACGCTCCCTTGGTATGGCCTCCACTTGCCAAATTCATCCTGCCACTCCCACACTGCCACGGCTCCAGGGCTGGCACCCCCTGGCACAGGAGCGGAGGGTCCCGACGGTGCTGCTGCCATTGTTCAAGGTCTTACGCTAAAAGCGAGAAGAGCCAGGGAGGTTGACCGGACAGCCCTCAAACCATCCTCTCTAACGGCATTTGTCAGGCCTGCAGAGAGAAGCAAAGACAAGATATGCAAAGTTAAGGAGAGCACTCCAGGGCTGGAAGCAAGGGAATGGGAGAAACCCTGTTAAATGGGGGAAGGTCTGAAGTCAGAGGGTCACGGTGCTGAATGATTCGAGAGACTATGACAGTGCCAAAGCTAGTAAAGTTCAGAACCAACACGTAAAATGCAGCTGTGGGTGCTGCTTCAACCCTTTTGCCAACCCTGGTGGTTTTACAACCAAGCCCTTCCTCTCCACAGCCCCCAGACTTCTAAATTACAACAGAAGCTCTCTGGAGCAAACACTCTTGGCACTATATGCCACCAAGCACATTACTGGTGCTTACATAAACAGGTAAACATTCCCAATTTCTGCTTTTCCTTATTTACTTTGCAGTACATTCACAGGCTCAGATCTCAACTCAGAGCCCCCACCAGATCGGCCCTGCAGAGAGGTCTGACACCAGACCAGAACCTATGAGCAAGACCCTGTACACATGTATCACCAAAACCATCCCTGCAGCATAGAGGGGACTCTGTTAATATACAGTGCAATTCACAGAGCAAGTCCTCCAGAATGACACAGGCACTTGGGAGCAAATGCTGGGGTTATGGGAGAGCAGGGCCCACTTAAGTCACAGTACAGTCATCTGCTGTCTGGAAGAGGTTTCCCATGACAGCTGCTTTATTGAGAGGCTTGAGTCTCTCAGCAGCGTCTGTCGGAGGCAGGCAACACAGGGGGAGACATCGCTTTAGGATGGAGGAAGATCCACTGCTGCAGATGACACATCCACCAATCAGGTCTGGCTCGTTATTTCAGACTAATCAGAATTGAAGACCAAGGCCACCTCCTGTCTGCATTCCCCAAAGGAGAGTTGTGCTATATAGGAAAAAAGATAACATCCTTGGTGAAGCCTACATGGGTGACTCATGAACAAGTCCTAGCCCTCTTACCTTGGAATCACTGGTAGCAAATGAAATTCCTTCAGAGCACTGTATGCTAAAAAAGTTCTTGCCCCAGGAATGAGACACGGGTAGCTGGCAATAGCACATCATACATCAGGGCTGGGTATTCTACTGCGTGGGATCACAGATCACATGAACAAACCCCAGAAACAAAACCCAACACCTACCTCTTGCTAATTCTTTTTACACTGGGTTTCGCACAAGCACCTGGCAATGTTGCTCTGATAAGATGACTGTCATTGTTTCCAAGCTAAACTCAAACTGACCTAGCTCAGAGCATGCTTGCAGAGTTTCCCATGCAAGGCTGGTGCACAGCATATGCCCTGCACTCCCCCTAACTAAGGGTTTCTTGCTTTCCACATACTATACCATCAACTGTAAGAACCAGCAGCAAAGCAGCCTGACAGCGGGAGGCTTTGCCTCTGTGATGGAGGCATCGCACCACTTGTTTTTGTTCCTTTTAAAAATATAGTGGCAGAAGGAGGGAAAGAAAGATCAAAGCAGAAATAGATCTACTTACACGTCCTCCTTACCCTGTCATCTCCCTCAAAGCACTAATGCCCATGTGATGTCAGCCTGTTACCTGGTGCACAATAAAATCCTGGCTCACAATTGGCTGAAAATGATCAGGTAGGTACCACTTACTTCTTGGAGGGCTAACAATGCTTTGAGTTTGGGACCCACATTAGCCAATCAGATCAAGCATGCAAATTAGGGCATCCTGACTGGCTGCAGACGAGTTCCGTGTCAATATACTTTCACTGCCCAGGAGATAATGGATCCTATTTCCTGAACTTGGAATCTGACCCTTTAAAAGGAAGGAGGGTCTCAACCTATGCCAAAGTGTGCATCTGGATGAAACTTGAGCCTGCAGCTGTTTGGAAGGATTGTGAAACAATCCATGTGTGTTCCAGGGCCCAGCAAAACACTATGGTAACCTAAAGTTGGAACTGGACACAAGCAATCATGGAACTGAGGACAGTTCTCTTAAAAAAGCAGAAATGTTTAGAAACCTGGAAATTCAAAATTAAGGTCACTCACACCTCCTTAGCTCTGACCCTGGCCTCCAACCTACTTCATGAAAGATGGAAGCAGTTTGCAACAGGGTGTGGTAAGGACCTTAAGAAGTGTGTGGTCTCAATATGCGATATATCCACTGTATTAGCATCAGGCACCAGTGGCAACTAAGAACAATGATGTACATATCAATGAGTTTGCACACTCATCTACAACATGCCACCATGCATCTCCCATGATCTTCTGTACTTGTGTGTCAAGTATTTAATTTTGAAACCAGTCCCGGTGACATCTACAGCCTCAGACACTGCAATTACATAGCAGCACAAACTCTCACAGCATGCCCATTGGCCTGCTACCTTCTGTGACTCACAGTACTTTTAATCAGTGATTCTGAATTAGGATGCTATGATCACCCTCCTCCCCAATCCAGTGCCCTGCGTCTGTCCCAATGGTGCCTACAGCTGCTCCTATGAGGACTGCTGTCTTGTCCCTGCTGCTCTCACCATGCACCAGTTAGATCAGTTGTTCTTAACATTGTTAGCCTCAAGGCAGCCTTCTATATCTTTTCCGGATTTAAATTGTAGCTCAGTGATTCTCAACTGGGGTGCTGCAAAATTCAGAAAAGTTATGGAGGGAGGTCTTGAGGCTAAGAAGACTGAGAATCACAGCCTTCAACTGCAGGAAATGGCTGTGCTACCACAGTGTCAAGCACAGTGAAGTCGTCTCCTTGCCAGCAGATCCTAACACATGTAAAAAAAACCAAATGTTCAAACCTGAAACGTTTACATTTGAGTTTGTTCTTCATGATTTATCCTGCTTGATTGTTAGCTTGGGCTCAGTTCCTGAATTCAGCTCTGCCTGTCCCTTGTGACTTAACTGGGCCTTGTGTGAGGACTAATCCCCATGGATTTAATTGTGAGATTTGGAGAAGTTAAGGAGGAAAATAGTCTTTGCAAGTTTCACCTATGTTTCTGCTCATATTCACCTCTGCCTTCCCAAGCTGGAGCAAAGCATTGCTGGGCTGGAGATCACAAGGCTGTAGGAGAAAACCATTTCTATCTTATGAAAATCTTTCTACTTTATACTTAAAACCTCTCAACTGCAGCTCTAACATCCAGATGACAGAGTCCCTTTAAGTTTCTGCCAGTGCTAATAAAAACTGAATGGCACAGTAGTATGCACCACAAGCGAAAAAGAAAAAGCCACGGGGACCCTTGATCTGGGCTGTGATTGCAGGCTGTCTTTAAATACCAACATAAAGGACAGTCTTACAATATGTGAGCCGTTTGAACATGGTATTCAAACAGGAGGGCACCCAGCAAAGAACGGTCAGGCAATAACACCACATTCAGGAAATGGGAGGTCCACAAACAAGGGGCTACAGATAATCACCATGAAGGGATTACATTTGAATTAAGAGACTGCTTTGGCTATGCTAAGTTAGTGGGCTCTCAGGCATCAAGGATTGGCAGCATAGGTTCGTTATACCACTGTGGGTACCCTGTACCCGCTGCACTTCCAAAATCCCGAAGGGAAGAGCAAGGTCATGAGGTTTAACAAACGCCACTGCAAAGCTAATGCAATTTTAGGTTCATTCTGTTCTGAGCATGCAGAAATCCCAGAGCAATCATCAACCCTTGCTCAGAGCAGGCTAGGGGGAGGAGAGGGTACAGCTGCAGAGCATCCTCGGGCCCCTTTTCTGTTCCTGGGCCCCACAGGCCAAAGCAGACCCTGTCAGATCTCCAATTAAGCAGCACGGTGAAACTTACTAGAGTCACATCAGTTCCAGGCAGCCCCCCTGCATCAGGGCAGGCTATACAACCTCCCTCCATCATCCCTACATCAGCTTTTACTAGAGCCAAAAACTACCTCTTAGAAATACATGTATTCCTGACTCAGGGTTCAGAGCAAGCCAGGGGCTGCCCCAGCCACCTGGTTAGTAATTCATAGATGAGAAAGAAAGACCAATCAAAAACTCGCTCTGGCCTGAGTGTCAGGAGAGCTGGCTTCAAGTTGCTCAGAAAACAAAACAGAAGCACTGAAACAGAGTGAAACATGCATCTACTCTCTAGATCAGTGATTTTCAACCTTTCTAGACTCCACGCACCCATTGATAGCCTGAAGACACCACTCAGAAAATGCCAGCTCTTTGTATTCACACTTTCTTTGACTATAGAGAAATAATTGAGCAATCATTTCTGAGTTCTTTCCGTTGCAAAGAACTACAAAAAAACCCACAATAGGTCAGAATACCCGTGTTTGCCCTGTGAGTCATGTTTGTACACCTACCAGCACTAATACTGTGTGGCACCCTGTGGCACCTTTGAAAGGATCTCAAGGCACCCCACAAGTGCTGTGGTACTCTGTTGAAAATCACTGCTCTAGGTAAAGCCAATTTCAGCCATGACCCTACACAGAAATTCAGAGGCAAAACAAGTTGGGGGTGATGCTGTCATTTGTTCCAGGAAGCATGCAAATGGAAGATGAATTTACCCACTTGTGCATGAACTTAATATTCCTGGCAAGATATAGGAAAAGACTGGGCTAGAAGGAAACCAGCAACTTGCTAAGTCACAAGAATTAACAGAGCCAAAAGATAGAATAGCACCCATCCAGACCCACGAGTGGCATTACGTCAGTGACTACAAGGTAACAAGTCCCAGCACCTAGTGCAACAGAGAAAACAAATGAACAGGTTTCTTTCTGGTTTTTGCAGCCAGATTTCAACATGCTTTAGGATGAGTCAGAAGTCCAACTCCCATAGGCAGCCTGAGCTTTTGTGTCATCCACCTCACATCAAATCTTGTCACCTTCCATTACAACATACGCCAATTTGAAGCCCGCAAGACACAGGGAGATATAAATGAGACATGGCATGCCACAAATGGGGACAGATCACAAGAGATAAACAATACACAGCATTGCTCACATCTGCCGGCATAAATACCATCAAGAAGTTACGATCACCTACAGATCTATCTACAAGGTTCTTTTACAGTGCCAGTCTCAGTCTGACAAGTCAAAAGGAGTTTAAGGAAGTCATGCAGATCTATGTGAACGCTAACGGAAGAATTAACAACTGCCAAGTAAAAGCAGGGGAAGGTCTCACCCAGCCTCATATGAGAGATTAGAGAACCACAAATTCCATTTCGGGACCTTGCAATCACTGTACTTGCCTGCAGATTATGAAGTGAAGATTGCAAGTGGATTTGAGATCAGCAGAATGATTTTCCGGCATTAAAGACTTCCTACCATCAGCAGTTTATAAACTACAGGAGCTTTAATCAAGATAAGGGACCCCCTGGACAGAGCCCTTTAGGAAAACAGCTGTCAGTTATGATTTAGAGAGATGACAGATAAAGAACGGTCTGTTTCTACAGATGGAGAAATTGAAGCACGGAGCAGTAATGTGACCTGCCTATGATCTCAAAGACGACAATAGCAGAGCCAAAAATTGAACTCAGTAATTCAGTCTGAAGTTTGTACTTTAACAAACAGGCCTTTTCCCACCACTTTCCACTTTAACCCCAATGGAAGTAAGTGTGATGAATATTTTCTTAAGGTGTTGCTCAAATACAAAGTTAGGGAAGACTGCAGTAAAAACTCCCAGCAGAAGGGACTGTTTGTTCAAAAGCAAACAGCAGGAACCTAAAAGCAAACCAGACCGTAAGCAAAACTGAAACTGCTCAGACAAAGGTCATCAGTGTAAACTACTAAAAAAAATGGATTGTCAATTCAAGCAGTTTAGGAGACCCAATAGCTCTTAGCCACAGCAGGAAGGAAATCCAATTAAAAAATTTCCAGTGCCCCATTAAAGAATCCTAATCAAGGAACCATAATACCTTGAAGGCAGGCACCGCACTTAAGTGTCAAGGTACACAATTACCTAGGGAGACTGGCCCAAAGTTCAGATACCAACCTGGGAACTTGGGCTCAAGTCCCTGCTTAGCGCTGGGTGACCCTAAATAAGTCACTTCATCTCTCTGCCTCAGCTTCCCACCAGTAAAATGGGGGTAAGAGCACTGCTCTACCTCATGAGATTAGGGAGTGATTGTATACTATGACAAGAATACGCAAACTTACTGCCAATTCCTAGAGAAGCAGCTCAGACTCCAACCCCTGCAACCAGACCCACAAATAGGCAGATCCATTCTGGGTCCAGATGCAGGTTCAGAGCCAGGGATCAGCTCCTGCTGACCATACCAGAAGCAGTGTTTATCGCCATGAACAGTCCCCTTGTGGCCTACAAGACAACTCTCAGAGCGTGACTGCACTGAACAGGTTCGCTGCTTTGGTGGCTGGGGATGTGAAAACATCACACCACTAACGAACAAGTTTCACCGACATTTCTTGCAATCCAGACCAGGGCCTTGGTAACCAGTGTTCACAGGCTCCGATCCTGAAGACGCGAGAGAGAAATTCCTTAAAGCTGAGACAAAGGACACACTTTTCAGGAGCCTCCAGGTCACCAGGGAGCCAGAGTCTGGGTTTTCCAGGAGCACGAGTCTCACCGCAACTCGGGGGATTTGGACCGCGAGAAGCCCGCGTTGCTCCCGAGAGCAGATCCGGGTGCCACTGGCTCAGACCCCCGCGGGCAGCTCCCACGGGCCCAGCTGCTCCGACCCGCCGAGAGCGCTGGAGCCGGTGAGGATGCAGTAAAACTCCCCGCTCATGTCGGGGCCTCAATCCCCATCCACAGGGAGACGGACGGCCACGAGTGACACCGGCTCCGGGGCCTAGTGCGGCCGCCGCGGAGGGGCACGGGCACGGCTTGGGGGCGACCGCGGCCCCGGGCTCCCGCGGGAAGGGGCGGGGAGGGGCTCCCAGAAAGCAGCAGGGACCTCTACGGTCCCACACCCACCCGCTCCCCTCCCGGCCCGGCCCGGGACCCAGGCTCACCGTGGCGGCGCGTCTCCTCGGGCTGCTGCGAGCGCGACTGGGCAACGACTTCCCGGCGCAGCCCGACGAGGCCCAGTACGCATGCGCCCCGCGCGAGGCATGCTGGGGGCTGTAGTCCCGGTGGGCGGGGCCGTGTGCTACGGGGGGGCGGGGCGGGCAGGGGGGTGGGGAGGCTCGTGCTGTTTCTTCACGTGGCAGCGTGGCTCTCAGCACCGGGGCCTTCGCCTCTTGCTTCTCCTGCAGCAATTTCTTTGCACTTCCCATCTCGTGGGCTCACTCTCTGGTTTCAGAGTATTTATCATCATCTCTTCTCTTTCTTTGTCTGCCCCTTTTAATGGAGAGAGAGTTGCTGTCTGTGCAGCTGCATTTCGAGAGGCAGCTCTGATAAAAGCTGCTTTGCCCAGTGACATCGCAGTGGATTAGATTGTGGGATCAAGACATAACGATGGGAACAACCCGTTACAGGGATAACTAGCAAGGCTGAGGAAGGTGATTGAAGAGGGACATTTTAGGATCTGAGACTTCTAGCAGGGAAACACAGACATTCTTGTAAAGAAAACAGTGTTTATGCATTGGTTTTCCATAACTTGGTGCCTCAAAGAAGATTCATTGAGGCAGGTTAATCCTGAATTCATGTTCTGTTTTCTGCGGTGCTCTCGGTTCTTGAACCCTCAGACATCAAACAAGCCTAAGAAGTCTGAACCAGAATCAGATAGCCTTTGAAACCAGTGTCTGATGAACACTAATCATCCCAGTTGTGGCTGTGAGTGATAAAGGCAGGATTGCAGAAGTGGCACAAAGGAAGAGAATCACCTGCAGTATTAAAGATCCTTTCTGTTCTCGGCCTTAAAGATGAGCACTGAAGAAAGCGATTTATTTCTCCAAAAAGATTTGAAAAGCCTTACAGCGAAGGGGCTCAGTTCTCTCCCCTGCCAAATTCAGGGTCAGGCTCGATCACGTATTTTTCAAGAACAATTCTGCGTTGGTGGAGACAGCCGGGTTAAAACAACCTCACTTCTTCCCACTTCTGAGACATTGGCAATTTTTATTCTGAGTCTTTTGTTGAAAGCTTTTTATTGTACAGAACAGGAGAATTGATTTTTTTTCTTTAGCTCTAATTCTCTTTGGTGCTTTAGCATTGCTTTGCATTCTCTGTTCTTCCCTTGGATGCAGTAAGGGTCAGGACTTGAGCTCAGTGATGGGCCAGCCGTGAGGGGTGGAGATTATCAGTGTTTTATGGATTCACCAAACTAGCAAAGAAGTTTCCAAAACAATTAGAGAAGCTTGCAAAGCTGCTGGAGCTCTGAACTTTGGGTCAGTCCTCGTGGAAGAAACATGAATGTGAAACCACGACCTTGTTCCTCAGCAAAATACCATCTCGAGGCAGCATTACAATAGACCTGTGCTTTATCTGCTGGGCCATGTTCCCTCTCTCTCAGGTCGGGGGGTATGTTCACAGAGCTGAATCATCTCTCAGATGCCTGGCTGGTGTGTCTTGCTTATGTTTCCAGGATTAAACCAACTGTCAGATTTGGGGTCAGGAAGGAGTTTTCCCTCGGTCAGATTGCAAGGATACTTGTAAGATTTTTTGCCTTCCTGTATGGCAGTAATTCTCAACCAGTGTGCCACAGCACCCTGGGGTGCCTTGAGAGCCTTTCAGGAGTGCTTTCAGGCTGTCACATGATATTAGTAGTTAGGTGTGCAAACATGATTCACAAGATAAACCCAGACATTTGAAATAAGAATGAATCTGTTGTGTTAAAAACACTGAATTGTTGTGGGCTTTCTGAATCCTCTGCAAGAGAATTGCTCTATTGTTTGCTGACTACAGAAAAATGAGTGAAAACTAAGAGCCAGCATTTTCTGAGGGGTGCCTTGAGCCTAAAAAGGTTGAGAATTGCTCTGGACCATGGGGTATGGTCCAGTCCCTAGGATCGTATTGTTGCCCCTAGGATTCCTTTTACCAGAGACCCCCAAGGATTGACCCAGCCCCTCATCCAAATTGGTATCAAGTGAATTTAAACAGCAATCCCTAGGATTTATTACAGGTTTCCTCCCCATAATATAACCTGGCAAGTGGTTCCTTTAGACATTACAGTAGCAACCCAGGGTACATGGGATGTTAGTTCTGGATTCCTTATTGTTCAAACAAGAAGTCCAAGGTTGCTCCTGTCTCCCTAAGGTGGCAACGCAAAACACACGTGTTGCTTTGTTTGTCTCTCACTTTTCTCATCCCAAATTGTCCAATCCCCTGGCTCTGTGCCAAGCATTCTTTATATGGTGCACCAATCCCCTGGCACTGTGCCAGGCACATTCCCTATAGGGAAACTGCTGTCCTTTGCTCTTCTAGTGCCCAGTCGCACCATTCACATCTCCCAGTGCCACAGAAGGTGCTCTGTTCAATTTTGTTGCTTAGTTCCAGGAAGGCCTGAACTACGGCTAAAAAGCCTCAGCCTAACTCAGTTTGCCTGCTACTTTATGAGCTATTTTACTTCACAGATTCCCTTAGGCATCAGTGGTGCCCTTGGGTCCCTCTTGCATGTTAGGTGCTTTGTGTGAAGGGCTGGAGCAGGTGTTCCTGTGGAGTCAGGGGTGTGTGCTCCTCGGGCCTGAACTAGATCACTCAGGATGGGTCTAGTCCTGTGTTCTTATTTCAGAATAATCAGGGAATGTATGTATCAGCCATCCCCAGAGTGCGTGTGGTGGTGCTGGATGTAAATTCCTTCCACGGAGCATACTGTGCTGGCTCCTTGCCCTTCTGGAATGAAGACAGGGCTTCCTTTGTTCTCAGAGAAGCACCGGACATACTTGCATCCTAGGCACCATTAAGATAGTACTTGGGGTCTGGCAGCTGACAAGATCCCTTGGTCAGGCTGTTTGAAACCCATACAAAGTACAGGCAAAAGCAGCACTTACCTGCTCCTAGGTCTCAGTGTTCTGGACATGTAATCATTTCTGTAATAGGCGATTCATGATCAGGTGGGACCAAGAGGTTGTGATCTTCAGTAGGGCTCTCTGCAGTCTTTCTTGGTATTGATCAGCAGTATCTCTGAGCAGGATTTCTCCTGTGCTCATTTACACCAGTATCAACCAAAATTGTCTCCACTGAACTTGATTATACCTTGATGGTAGAGTTCTGCATGGGCCAGTGCAGTCCACTTTCCTCAGTTATCCTGCCAGACAGATGGCTGTGTTTATGCTTGGCCACCCTGCAAGACATATCTGCTTGTCTAGGCCTTTTATCAGTAGGTTCTGCATGGTCCTCCCTAACAGCTAAATTTCCCCCACCTAAATTCAGGGCTGCAGAGTAGATATGGAGAATATACACTTTATATATGCTCTTTATACATATACTCTTTATATATTATAATATGAGGGCTGGGAGGACAGGGAAGATGATGCTGTTCTCAAATCTAACCCTCACAATGTTCAGGCAGATACTTTCATGATGGATGCCTCATACACGGCTATTCAAATCATAAAACAGCAGATCTCAGTCATGAAGCTTGTCTTAATATTCACCAAATCGTTTCAGAACTTGCAGAACACTGAATACAAGTTCTTGACTGAATTCTTACCTGTTTTGATTGGTCCATTGATAGGTTACAACTCACATGACCTCATCCATCGCAAAGGCCTTCCACTGGACCTTGCCCACCTATCAATTAGAGATTCTGGGGTCATCTTGTTTCCATGCCTGATATCTTGTGCTAGTTTTATTTTAGCACTTTCATTTATTTTACAATCAATTAGGGCTGTGCAAAGCTTTGGGTGGTGATTCGATTCAGAGGAGATTCAGCCCAATTCAGTGGCCGAATCTCCAAATCTGAATTGAATCAAGGGACCAATTTAAAGGTCTGAATTGACTAAAAGCTCTCCGAATCTTCAGAAAAGATTTGGAGAGCTTTGATGATTTGGGCAGTCCTCAGTGGCTGCAACAGGGAGCTGCAGCTGACTCTGAGCTGGTACTAGGGACCAGGGAGGAGGGCTGGGGAAGGGGACCATGGGGGGACCCCTGCTAGGCCCCCTGACCACCCCTGCTCCCCAGCCCCACCCCATGGCTGCCCTGCCCACGCCACCTCGGTACTTTAAAAAAAAGCCCCAATGCTTACCAGGTGTTGCCGGGCAGGGGGCAGATCCCCGCTGCCCCATGCTGCATGGGGGCTCTGCACGACGGGAGGGAGGCTCGCGCAGAGCCCCCCACGCAGCATGGGGCAGTGGGGAGCAGCAGGGATTCCCCCCCCCAGCAGTAACTGGTGAGCACCAGGGCATTGCCGGGCTGGGGGAACAGGTGGGAGATTCAGCCAAATCAAATCAGGACAGTGAGTCGAATCACTGAATCAAATCACTGTCCCCCGAACTGGCCAAATCTGAATCCAAAGCAAATACTAGCCGCTTCACGCAGACCTACCATCCATATTTCAGCACAACAGAATGTGCTGGTAAAAAGGATATGTGACCATTGTCTTTGACAACTGGGAAGACTATTTCTAACAGTAGCATATTTTCCATTTGGACAGTTCCTCAGGAGGTCTTTCTATTCTCCTTCAGGCATCCTCACTCTAAGATGCAGTAAACAACTGTGATCCTCTGGATCATGGTGTATACATAAGAGGTCTACCCAGATGCCTGATGAATCCATATGTGGCTGGCAGGCCCAATTCAAGAGTGACACAGCTTGTTGGAAGTTTCATAGATCCATATGTTGTCTGAGTTGGAAGCCAAGTTTACAGCATGCTGCTTTCTTCTTTTTCACTTTGCTTCCAGCCTCTGGATCAAAACCGCTTCATGCTGAGCTGCACCCAATGCCAGATGTTGCCTCCAGATCAGACAAGATGCTGCATGTTACTCCCAGCTTTCTACATTGATGCTGAATGACTTCATATTATTTTTGCACACATTGTGGTACCACCATAGAGGGTGACCGCACTTTCTAGAGTTATCTCAAATCTCACTGCACAAAATATTCTTAGTGATACGGTCTCCTCCCATTCTCCTGATGTATCTGATCTATCAGAACCTCCTCTTTTTTATAGTGGTTTCTAAGTGTGTCAGTCCTGCGTGCTCCAGTACCTCTGTT